TCATTTTTACGGTTTAGTGAAGGGTTTAAAAATATTAGTCACAAACAACCAATTCTTACTTTTCACTTATTACTAAAGATGTAACATATTGGTGTAAGATTCAAAACAAATACTTTAATAATTAGTCATAAGCAAATTTTAGCTAATTTTATATAATAGAACTTTTAAAGATCAAACCTATTCTAGGAACTACAGAAGAGAATCCATAGGTTTCTTTGCATCTTCTGGTGTCGAATTGGTGGGACTTCTGAGACACTGGAGGAGTTGGAATTTTTCAGAGAACCCAGTACATAGGTTAGTATTTCTGTGACCAAGCATTGTGTCAGGCTAATGGCTAACATCCTTTTCTTTCCACTGCAATCTGAAAAATGTCTGCAGGGCAGGAGCCGTAGCTCTAGAATTATTTTCTATTGTACAGAATAAATATCTTAAAGTGCTCAAGCAAAAACTAAAAGGAAAAGGAAAAATGAAAAGCCTTAACAGGCACAAATGATGATTCTCGTATTTTCCATAAAAAACCCTTAAAAATAACTGATTTATATTTATTCCTCTATATTATGTAACTTGTCTATTACATTGTAAGTATTTTCTTTTGGCATTGATATTACTTATAAAGGTCTTTCTTGTACCAATATTATATAACTATCATTTCCTATACTTTACCTCCAATATTTGGTTACATAAAAGCCTTTACTTCAAGTACTCAAGATAGTTATTAAGAAGATAGTCATAGAATAATATAAATCCATTAATATCTTTCTGCTTGACCTTAGCATGCATTTTTTTAGTCCCTTTTCTGTTGATGTATTTTAATGTTAAAATTTCCAAAGAAAGCACCCTTCTAATCTGCAAAAGTTGTCTAATTCTATGAACAGTAGTTTTATAGAACCATGACCGTTAATGTGAATACTGATAACATAGTTATTCATTATTTTTATTCATACTAATTATTTTTATAGGTCTTAATAATTTTGTACTAATTTAAAATGTTTTTTATNTTAGAAAAATATAAAACTCGAGCTAAACAGAAACCCACTGCAGCTGTCCCTACTGGGCTCTGCCCTGGCAAATCTCCCTTTGCCAGTTCCAAACAGAACTCTCTTTCTCTGCCTGACTTGCAATAAAGCTTTCTTGCTCTCCCACTTTGTAGTCTCATGAATTCTTTTCACGTTCTGCGAATGACCAAGGGTTAATTCTATGCCAAGACATTTATCAGACAACTTAGACTTCTGATCAATGTCTATCATTACGTAGGCAATGCTAAGGTGCTTACTTTGCTACAGCTCATGTGCCTTTGGCATTAAAGAAAGAAAAAAGGTACTTACTGAATACTTCTTAGGTACTAAGCACAGTGTTAATGCTATACCTGTATTTTCTTATTTAATCCTTAAAATACACTTGTGAGATAGATATTATTAT